GGCTCTAAGTGAGATGCAACGAGACCATGCTATACTTGCTACAGAATTGCAAAGAGAGAGGGAGGAACGTGAAGAAGATAGGACTGCTGTGCAGCCGTTGATTGATGCATTAAGGAAGAAGACTAGTGGGGAAGTAGTGGAAAGCTCTGAAAGTGATGTCAGTGTTGAAACAGTGAAGGGAATGGATGTAATTGCAGAGGAAGCGAGTCTAGATGGAGTACCCAGAGATGAGGAACTGGCGACACACGACGTTGTTGACGAGTCGGAGATTAATAAAGTCACCGCTCTCCCGATCATTACCGACGATATTTCTAATCTACTTGATATTGTGGAAGATCGTTTCCAAAATCCCGTCGAGAATCGGAGATCTTCTATGATGTTGACAAGATCTCAACTGCGGGAAGAGCTCGATCGATCGAAAGAACAGATTCTCATTGAGACATCGAGGTCTCAGGAATTGAGCAGGCGTATTGTTGAACAAGACCAAGAAATCAGCAATTTGCGAGATCAGATCAGGGAAACTCAAGCTCATGTTCGAAATTCACATCAAGATAGACAACGATTGGAGAGACAAGTATACGATTTGCGCAATTCAAGGAAGAGTGCTCAATCGACACCGGATGGTTCAAGGGATCATGAGATTGAGTGGGGCGTCAAAAGTGCAACTACAGGCGGACTTCGAGAGTTGAAACTTGTTCGCTCAAATTCCAATCGTTCGGTAGCCACGACTTACAATAAACGAAGTTCAAGCCTTATCTCTCCGCAAAATCTCAAAGAGAATGAAAATTTCCGCGCTTCTACATCGTCTGACCAGCAGCGTTCTTCCAAGGAAGATGTAGATTCTGATTCATTGGTTCTTGAACTTGTACAAGCAAAAACTGCTGAAGCGGTTGCCAAGCAAGAAGCAGAAGAAGCCAAGCTCAAATTAGAAAGCTTGAAGAAGATGTTGGCCGGCTTACAAAATGGTGAAATGCCAACCTCGGGTTTTGGACATTCGTCAAAACCTAGCCTTGATAGGTCGATGACAACTATACCTGCAAAAAGTACTGTTCCCAAGATTGAAACACCAAATGCGCCAGCTAGTGTGCCCGCTACACCAGCACCCGCTAGCGGTGGTGGATTCTGGGGTTGGGGAAAGAAAGCTGCTGTTAGTACTGAAGGAAAATAGAAGTTTATTGATATAAAGGTTTCTTGGCGTGGATGTTTGAGATGTTGGGATATTGGCATATGATACGTGTTGTTTAAAGTATTGGAGGAGGATATGAAGGATGGGAAGAACTGATGAGAATGAATTGAACAATTGCAGGAGGTTCTTTTTTTTTTTTTTGCTTAAGCTTGTTTGCTTATCATTGTTTGTACTTGCTTTTGCCCTTTTGGTACATTTCTTCGACGCGATTTTTTGACTTTACAAGCAAAATACCCGAGAGTGCGTGGCCTTACGTAGATGGCTCTTTTTATATTAGTGGAGGGGGCTTGCGGATGTAGAATTATTGTTTATTGGTGAAAGCGGGGGTTGGGTGTTTATAGAAAGGATTTGAGGCTCTGAGATTAGGAGTGAGGAGTGAGGGGGGAGAGGGGAGGGAAGAGTATCTTGCGAAGGATGTATAGTGTATGATGCATGGTGGTGAAGGGGGGGGATGTTTAAGGGATGTAAGAAAAGGAGAGGGCGAGGGACTTGGTTGGCGAGGACTGGGTGAGGATAGATAGAGTGAAAGGAAGATGGAATGAATGGAATGGAGATGAATTCTATATGATGGTTTTGCTTCGATGTTATGTTGTGATGTGATGTGAAATTTTCTTGTCTTATCTTGTATAAGTATGTCTATATGTATGTATGTATGTATGTATGTATGTATGTATGTATGTATGTATGTATGTATGTATATATATGTGTGTGCTTTTGTTGTAGGTGAGTATATTGAGTGGATTTATGGATGGAATTTATGAGTTTGCTGTTTCTGTTTTGATACTTTAGTTTGTTGTTTGGAGGTGGATGGGAATGGGAGATAGGGATGGGGATGGGAGGATGATGATGGATTGTGTTGATGGGTAGATGGGTGGATGGTTGAATGGATAAATGAGTAGATGGGTAGATGGGTAAATAGATAGATGGGTAGATGAACAGATAGGTAGATGAGTAGATAGGTAGATAGGTAGATGGGTAGATAGGTAGAGATGGGTGGACAAATGTATGGTTGGATAAATAAATAGCACAAAGAGTTCTTGGTAAATCTTTGTATGGTAATGAATGGGTGGTGGGGGTGGGAGGGGGAGAGGCGGAGGAGGGAGAGGGAGAGGGGATGAGGGAGATGGGAGAGGAATGTAATTGTAAATGTAAATGATGGGTGTGGTATCGGTAGGTGGTAGGGTAGGTAGGTAATGGATGAATGGTTTTTGGGGAACTCTTTGGGGGATTCATTTGGGGAATTTTGTTTGGGGGAATTTGTTTGGGGACTGTGAGGGATGAGGAAGTGGATGGTGGATAGTGGATAGTGAATTGGGGAGGTGGATTGGAGGTGAGGGGTGAGATGAGAGGTGGTAAGAGGTGAGATGAGAGAGAGGAGATGAGATGAGATGCTGAGATGAGTGAGATGAGAGATAAGGGGTGAGGGGTATGAAAGCTTAAAGAACTAGGATGGGTGGAGAGATGGGTGGAGAGATAGATTTGAACTGGGCATTGGGTTTGGATTGGGATATGGGGAGGGTGGGAGAGGTGAGAGGTGAGAGGACGGGTGAGAGGATCAAATAGAATAGAATAGAATTGGGAGTGGATTGGGATTGGGAAGTGGGAATGGAAAGGTAAGGAAGGTATAAGATAGATTAATTGGTTGTGTGGAGTTGTGTAGGTATGTATTTGTGTATATGTGTGTGTGTATGTGAAGGGTATGAGGAAGGGAGGGGGAGAGAGAGCGAGGGATGAGGATTAAGAGAGGAATGAGGGATAAGAGAGGGATGAGGGATAAGAGAGGGATGAGGGATAAGAGAGGGATGAGAGATGAGGGAGGTGTTATAGAGTACGGTGTGATATTATATACAATAATAATGGTAGAATGAGAGGGAACGGCAAGGGAGAAGGGAAATAGAGTGTATTGGAGAGTAGAAGATAATAGAGGTATTGGAGAGGAGTTATGTGTATAGAGAGGATTTGGTAGGTAGTTAACAAGGAGCCGGTGCATCTGCAGTTGCTGTGTAGCTATAGGAGGATGGAAATGAAAAATTTGTGGAGTTTGCATTTTTTGACGAGGGAATAAAGGGGAACGGAGAGGTGGTTTGGTGGTTTGGTGGTTTGGGAGATGGGATGGGGATTGTGATAGTGTTGTTCTGCTGTTGGTGTTGTTGTGGTTATTAGTGTTGTTGTTATTGTTGTTTTTTAATGAAATCTGAAATCTGAAATTGTGATTTGTGATAGTGTAGTTGTAATTTTGAATATGAATGTTGAAATTGAGTGGAGGTTTGGGAAGGAGGGGATTGGAGTTTAGAGGGATGGGTTGGGATGGGATGAGGATGGAGATGGGGAGCATTGGACATTGAGAAGAGAGGATGAGTATATTATGATGGTGAGCCGGAACGACGAAAAATGAAGAGGGGGGGGGGGAGGAGAGAGTATGGTTGATATGAGGAATGAATATAAGTAAAACTACCTATCTACATAAAAGTACGATATCACCAAACATACGCGATCAATAATCAACAATCAAAATCAAGATGGATTACTAGCTAGCACAACAAAAATCGAGAATTCTTCATGTAAAATTGTGTCGCTTAATTCGAGATATCTATATCTATATCTGTGTCGACAGACTGCATAGAAATTTTTATATCTTATCTTATATCTTCCTTCCTTCTCTTCATTTATGATATAGTTTTATGATTTTGTAATAGTGAGAATTTATCATGAGTGAGTGAGTAAGTGATGGATTGATCGATATTTGGATTTCTTTTATTGTGGGAATTGTATGATGAAGTTTGAGGGAGGGATGGAGGGTTAGTTGGATTTAGGGGGGATGGGATGGGGGGTATGTGTACTGGATAGATGTTGGATATTGGATACTGGATACTGGATACTGGATAGAGAAGTATGAGGTTGATGAAGGGTTGTAGGTTATAGGTTGTGGTTATAGGTTGTGGTTATAGGTTGTGGTTATAGGTTGTGAGAAACTTGTTGGGTTGAGGCTTGTAGTTTGCGGGGGGAGATGTGCAATAATTGTTTTATTTCGGAGGGGGGGTGGGTGGTTGGGATGGGTTGGTTGGTGGTAAATGGATTGCTAGATTTTTTTGTTTCTGCGCTTGTATTGTAGGGGTTGGGTTTATGGGATATAAGGATGAAGGAGGTAGCTTGGAGGAGGAGATGTTTAATGTGATTATAGTTTATTTTAGATTCTTTTTGGGTGAGTGATGGGGGTAGGAAAGGATGGTACGGATGGGGATTAGATATCCAAGGGGAATCTTGTGTATTTGGAAGTAGATGTGTGTTTAATTAATGAATCGATGGTCAAATTTGGGGAAAAGTAATGTGGGTGAAGAGGAGTCAGTGATATGTGGTATGTTGAGAAAGTGGTCCGAAGCGCAAGTAGAGGAAGGATGAGTGAATGAATGATTGAATGAGAGTGGTGTCGAGGGGAGTTCAGTATAAAGAAGAGAAAGAGAATGATGATATCTCTTCATTCGTAAATAGGAAGATAGTAAGATGGTATCAGGAAAGAAGTTGTGGATTCACCGAAAGTCCGAATTTACAAGCAGAGGAAGTATCTGGCAGGATATATAATTCCATCTCTTTGCGCTAGTTAGATACAATGTATTATCTCACTGAAAAGCTTTCCAAATTTAGTTTTCATGACATCATAGTTTCGCGCACATTCATGGGGTAAACTTTATTTTTGGTTCAGTGTAGATAATTGTGTGTATCAACTACATTATGAATATAGGTATCGCTAATTAACCCTTCATACAATTTCCCACTCCGTCTATGAAAATTCTCATATTTCCAACCCCTTAAATCTTTATACAAAATTCAAATATAGGTATCCTAAACCATCCCTGCATATACATTGATATCCCATAACTCCAAAATTATCACCAAAATCATACTCACTATATGATACAAAATTACCACACATCATAACCCCATTCCAATTTCCACTACCGATTTCCCACTGGATTCGTTGTGGTGCAAGCGCAGCTCTCGCAGGTCTTAAAGGCATCATTGCGGCAGTGGTAGTAGTAGTGATGTTATTGGTAGTAACATCATCATCTTTTTCAGAATCAGAAGAATTGGCTTCGAGATCGTAGGTATCGGCGCTGGAGAATCGCTTGCGGTTTAAGATGCGGCCGATAGTTATGATGAGGGAGAGGATGATGATTGGAGTGAGGGTTAGGGCGAGGCCGAGGTGGGCGTGCATTTTGCGGATGGGTTAGGTGTTCTTGGGTGTGGTGATTTTGTGGTTGTTGGGTCGAGGTTTGTGGGAGATTGGGATGTGTTTCTGTGGACTGTGTGTCGGGTTGATGGTGCTATTTCTCTTGAGAGAAGTTTTTGTGGAGAGGAATTATCGAGAGATTATTTGTTTGGAGGTTGGGTTTTGAGCTGTGATTGATTGAAAGGTGGTTTCTTTGAGATGTGTATCGAAGTTTTTTCTTTGGAGATCTTTAAAGTTGTGCAATGTTTTTGAATGGAAGAGAATTTCTCGAGAGAGAATGAAAGACTGAAGACCAACAATAAATTGATATTTAGAGTTTGTGGGTGAGCTAGATGGTGAGCTAGAGTTAGTGAGGCTGCTAAATCCATCTTTGATTGGGCGAAATGAGGTGTCCTTATGTTTTTTGCACATTTGGGCACATTCTTCAACGTATAATTGGCTACTAGGCCATTTAGTTTGTCTTTTCTTTCTAATTCGAAGACCGTTAAGCTCAATTATTCTAGTTCATCGGTCTTGTGAATCGTACTGATGATCAGTCGCATGAAGTTTTCCGTCGATGGAGTCATAATGCATTTGTAGGAGGACAACTACAACTGTGTTATGAATTGAAACATGATAATGAAAAGACTTTTATGAGTCTAGCTATGCCAACTACATTAAGCCTTCTTACGATACGATGATGTTACCTGCTCAGGGTCTCGAAGTATGGTATGAGATCTTCTAACCATTTGACTTTTGGAAAAGACCCATTGAAAAATGATACTCGAGATCATGATAACCACAAGCTCTTGGGTTCCATAAAGTTTTGGCATATTTTTGAAGTAGGAGATACATGAAACTTTCGGATTAGGGCGCAGAGTCAAATGAAACCCAACACTACAATATTACACCTTCATGATAAATCTGATAATAAAAGAGCCCTAGAATGAAGAAACCAAAGTCGGTGAGAAATACACATTTGCATGTAACGGAAATGACATAGAACAAGAAGCTTTTGACATGCAGTGATGAATAATGAAATACGCTAGGTACCCCAGATTCTCCGGATATCTAGAAGCTTGGCATGCTTTTAACATTGTGCGATTGCGGAACAGTACCCCCAACTTCTCGAAACATTCGAATAAAAGATAAAGACTGAGTCCCTAACACCTAAGCCAATTCTCACACTGTTGAGGACTTTCAAACGTTCGCTGTGCTGGTTCCTCTAATTTCGCGAGCAAAGACTGGTAAGCCGATGAAAAACACCACACGCACTGGCGTCAGCGTCAGGTAAGATAAGAAGTGCTCCTCTTGGCTTGTTACTCATAACGGATATGCAACTTTTAACAAGAGCGGTCGACGCATTTGATGTATTCCTCGACCTACGGAATGAGACACGGTCGTTTGTCGTCCTGTCGTTGCAGGGGCTGAATTGCCCCACTGTACGAACGATGCTTTGTCATCCAAATTCCAACCTCATCTGTTACACAACGTCAATGAAGAATCATAAAATGTCGCTAATAAACGCTTTCATGAACTAATTATGGAGTGGAATACTGGATATCTTAATCTGGTTGACAAGATAGTCCAATTTCTCTTCGAAAATGCGGATCAATTGCATACTTTCTCGTTGATGAGAGCTATTTGATGTGCTCCAGTCATGTCACTCAGGAGGCGAGATTTTATGTGCAGGAGGAGATACAGCCAGACAAGAGCTGGTGGGAAGCAGTTGTTTACGAAGCGCTGTCAAGTGATAAAAGCCATCTCGATTGTTATGCTGAACCTTGTTCGCAGACCAGTGTTTGCTCCCGAGGACAGGTTCCGGATTCTAAATCAGACCTTCTTCAAGATCGACTTTGCATCTCGAGTAGGGGATATTCTTGTACCCAAAGTTTTCAGTTTCGTTGTACTGAATATAGAAATAAAGCATACCCGGTTTCCTCAAGCATTGCTAGTGTAATGACCAGTGTCAGAACGTGCAATCACTCGAAGCACGATAGGCTGGGACTACACTTTCAGTGCTCTCGAAAAAACCTTCTTTAACAAAGGTAGAAGAAAGTTGACTATTAGAGAAGCTACTACACTATATAAGATCTCAAGTTCCGCAATGATGCATACAAATCCTGTCAATCATGTGCTATCACAGAGCTTCATGTGTGCTTGGGGCTCTCAAGGAAATTTATCTCGAAGTTTCGATTCAATTCCTTAATTCTATCCTGTCATATATCTGGAAACTTCTAGTTTGTCTTGTTATCCGTAAGTCTGTGCTTTTCTGGTGTGGTAAAGGGTTTGAGTGAATTGGCTCTTCAGTCAAGTAGACGAGATCATATCTGTCATCTCGATCCCAACCTCTATTTGCAAGTGTCCAATCGGGGAATTAAATATTTCCCGATAGAGCCCGACTCTATAGTTGATATGCTCAGCCACTGACCGAAATAAAATGGGTGAATGAATAACCAGAAACCTCGGGTTTCGGTACAGATAAAGGTTTGCTATTTTATGATTGACTACCGCCCTTTTATGTATGCCTTTCTTGGATGAATATTAAACTGCAAAGATGTAAGTGTGGCCTTGATTTTGTAAAATAAATCTAAAACATCACGTGGATGGAGTGTTAGGGAAGAAGCAAGAGCGATGGGCTGGTAATGAAGTGGAATGAAGATGGAAAAGTGAGAGGGCATGAAGCGGAATTCTTTTGATTGGGAGACAACAAAATTCACTTTCTCAAGCGTTGCAGGTCACATAGATAGTTCAATACAAGAGGCATTTGATCTATTCTACTTCTATGGGTGTGTTTGAAGATACATAACTTTGCCTTCCAGTCTTCTCTCCATGCTCATGTTGAATGGCTTGCTCTAATATTGTATATCTACGTGCACAGTATGTTCTAATATACACAATAGAAGTACTAACTGTAATATCCAATTCTTACTTCCGCATCTTGAACTTGAAAATACTCTATGACGAACGCCGCTCTATTCCGAATGCCTCGGACCTCGACGTAAATATAGCCAATTAAAAAATTACTTGCTCTAATCTAGCATCACAAGGCGGGGGAACAATTCACTTTCGCGGCAGGTGCCATCTCTTGTTTATCCTTAGCGTGGAAAATTTGAAATCCTGTTGCGAGGCATGTACTATATTTCTCATTCGCATAGCAACCATCTCCCCGTCTTTCTCTCTCACAAACCAACCCACCTCAACCACCAAAATATCATCAAATCTCAAATTCAATTCAACTTTTCTTTGGTTTGATAACCTTCAATACCTTCTTCAAGATCTTCTTCAATAACAAACATCTTTCTGGTCTTTCCATTCAGATCGAAAGCAACGCGACGGGTCACTTTCAGTGGCTCGTCGCGGTTGTGCTCAACCTCTATGAGCCTTCAGTATCTCTTTTCTGTTGATCAACAGTCTTTCAAAGAAGAACGGTTCTCAATCAAAGATCTCATCTATCTCACACTGCTACGTAAGTCTTGCTACACATGCACTGAATTTCCGTTTGATTCCTGACATTTTTTTCGTAGTCGACGTCCGTTAAAAATGCTCTAATCTGCCATACCCGCAGATCGGCATTTTTGTCAGTATGCAATTAAGTCTGTTATCTCATTAGATATCAGTCAAGGTGTTCTCGCATAGTTCTTATGGTATAAGTCTTCGATCTTACTGCATCATTTGTTCGTGCCATACTGACACCTGTCATGCAGTCTTCCTCAAAGCGCGCTTTTCCAAGAAAGACCTTCGATTCACCTCACAGTCTTCGTCTGTTAGAGAACAATCATATCTTCCATCCTTTCTCCGAACCTTTTCTCTCAAGCGCGCCCTCCGAAAAAAAAAAACTTCGAATCACCTTCACGATCTCCATTTTTTAGAGAGAAAAATCACACTCTCCATCCTTTCTTGGAACCTTTCCTCCAACCACGCCTGCAAGCTTTTTTCTTCTTGCAGTTCTCATCACAACCATGAACCAATATTGTTCTTATCACACAATGTTGTAGTGTTTACGCGACGCGACTTTTGGCAAATACTTCAATTTGTCACCAAAACAGTCATCCACGACAACACCATCAGGTGTTCCTTCGATCCGACGTCACTTCTTCTTCTGTGTTCATAAAAGTACTGTGAGTGTTCTTAATGAATCATCCTTATCCAATTACTGACTTTCATGCCGCAGTTTCGTTCCTCGGCGTACTCGACTGCGGAGTTGTCACACCATGACGAGACGAATCAATCTTTTGATTCACTCACGTGTTTCTTCACCATGCGTACCATCTACCTTGCTGCGAACCTCAAAAGTGAGCTTCAGTGTGGTCTCACACTATTCTGCAAAGGGCGCACTCGTGTCTTTCAATCGTCTTCGTTCATACATACCTCCAACACCTCTCGAGTCTTCGGCGCTGTCTACTTCAATTGGTAACGCTACATCTCCTTCAAAATTCGGTCATGTTGCTAACACATTATAAGACGTGATAGTAACTTGGAAGTCAGAAGAGCGAAGTGTGATGACGAGAATCATGATAGATCTCTAACACTTTGACTCCTGGCGGTGGATCTTCTTCAGGAATCGAGTCTCATCGAATCTGCGAGCATCAATTCAATTTCATGCAAGAATGCAGAGTATCTCTTCTTCGAATTCTCCTTACAAGATACCTCTCCGTCACCTCTCACGACCTCAGAATTGTCTGATGCACTTGGCTAAAGTATTTCTACTTCACACTGCCATTGCTTCTCAAGTATTGCATCCTCCCTGAATCTTCAATCCATGTTTCAACAACTGTCAAGGGAACAATTCTGAGGTCACTCCCCATCGTACGCCTGCTTCGAGGGCTGAGTCAAGTACACCTCACTGTCAACGAATCAATGTTGATGAATCTATATCAAGATATCAATACCATCAATTCAACATTGAAAATTAGATTCAAACCAAACTTGATTGTTTTGTCCACTTTCAATGACAGCCACAGCCCTCGAAGCAGAGCTCTCCGATCACCTTTCTCGACAATCGACAATCATCCTCGACAATCGACAATCATCCTCGACAATCGTCTTCGACAACACTTTTCTTTTTGTATTTAGATAGTTTGTGCTCCTGTTTTCTGTGTGTGAATTGGTCATGTGCTGAGTAGCACGCGCCATCTGAGTAGCATTCCCTTTCGGGACAATGACTGCTGGAACTTGTAGCTAGAGCGGCTTAGTAGCCAATCTGAATGTCCAGTGGAGATTGCTATTTCTGACGTGTTTGCCCCCATTTCGGTGGTGTAAGAGAGGTTTGGTGTTGGGTCGCGAGTAGGTTCTATCGGCGACGGAAGCTCATTACTTGCCAACTATTCGGTGGCTGGTTATTCAGTATGTATGGGTTTGTTGAACTTTTTAGATCCGTCTATCTTGGGAGCAGCGTACAGTTGCTCCCCGCATTTCAATAGTAAGTTGCTTAGTGCTCCTACCCCTGTCCCCCATTCCCTAACAAAAATAACACGATGCTGATGCCCCAAGCCGTCCAAAGTTTCATCTACAGTGGGGAAACTTTCGTATAGCAAGCCAGCTTGCCGAGTTCACTGAAACGTTATTTCAGTTGAGCACAAGAGCTTGTGTGTTTCAAAGACTTCTGTTCTATGAATACTTCCAGTACAACTGTTCCACGATTTATCGTGGTGCAAGTAAACCGTACAGTATTTTAAAGGGCTGTTACTCTGCGAACGCTTCCAGTACAACTGTTTGAAGACTCGTTGTTATGCAAGTAAACCGTACAGTGTCCAAAGATTTCTGTTCTATGAATACTTCCAGTACAACTGTTCCACGATTTATCGTGGTGCAAGTAAACCGTACAGTATTTTAAAGGGCTGCTACTCTGCGAACGCTTCCAGTACGACTGTGTCATAGCAGGTTTCGATGCAAGTAAACCGTACAGCCACAAGCTCCGAATCTCATCATTACAGAAAGCCGTGTCTTACCTCATTGGTTTTACCTGTAGAGAGAAATGCAAGAAAATATGGTCGGATGGGATTATTCCCTGAAAGCTATATCGGTATTCATTTCACTGACTTGCGTAAGTGTACGTTGACGCTCGATGGTGATGGTTGAGCCAAGTGACGGCCAGCGACGTGCATGCGGCTTATGATTCTGTTTGTGTCTTCGTTGTTTCTTGATCGTAAGTTTGTGATGAGTTGAAGATCTGTGTGGGCGTTGGCTTTGTGAACCGATGGTTCAGATCTGCTCGCAACATTAGCACTTTATTTCCGTGAATTAGAGATCATTGTGGGGACTTTGGCTTTTGTGGGGTGTCGGCTTTTGTGGGTGTTGGCTACGATTTTTCGTTCTTCGGAACTTGATTTCTCGATCTCTAATTCTAACGAAACATCGTGTGTTGCGGGCTTGATCTCGTGGGATTTGGGGGAAATACCGTACCTTGGTTGTTACTTGTGACCTATTGATATTTGAAAGCGCAGACCCTTCGTGGAACCTCCTCATAATATCACAGGCGCAAGGGAAACAGATCTTCAACTCAACTCTCACATTCTAACTTTCTATGGGCTTCAATAATCATCCAAAATCATACTCCAATGCACATAGCTCCATCCATTATGTTAGCACGATCCACGTCTATCGCATTTGATCTTAGAACTACTGGTGTTGGCTTGCTGAGTGTGCGATAAATCCCGATTTATCGTATGCGACGATGCTCGACAGTACCTTATGGAACTTTGATCATTTGTACGGGCTGATAGTGGTAGGGAGATAACGTGCGGAGAAAGGAAGATCTTGGATCGTGTGACAGCTGTCCCGATCAACGAGATCCTAGCCTGACTCTTGATTGTAGATGCTTGCATCTCTCATGAGGACCGTATCGTCTTTGACGGTGCGGCTTGCAGGAATACTAGTGAGCTTTCCAAGTTTCTAGCTGGACTCATGTTCTATGAGGAGCCCTCACATGGCTGGGAGAGCAATCCCTGGCTGTGCGGCTTGCCGGGTACTAGGTCATTTTGACGCTTGGATTTTCTTCTGGACGATGATGCCGTTATTGATCTACACTAAACATTCAGTTGGTGCAGGCAGGAGTTTAGCAATGTGTCTTGCCACCGGGGCAAGATATAACGTGAAGCTCATCAAAACTGCCTGCAAGAGTTGTTGATGGCATTGCTGAGCAATATGGAAAGCTACCCAGAACAAGGTGATTTATGGTAAATAGTAAGGTCTTGCCCAATGAAGAAGATACTGCATATCCAACGACTTTCCTGGACTGGTCACTGCCTGAGTGTGAGACACCTCATGGGTTTAGATTTAGTTCCTGATTGTTGTCATGTCTTCCGAGGGCGCTTGCTGTTTTAGTCAGATACTGTATACCTGGATACTGGTTGCAGATATTTCCACCTACTTTGTTCTCGGAGTAACGGAGTGATGTGGGTATAGTGTATATTGTCTGTATGAGGAGAATTCCGAAGGCACACCCTCAGGTATACCCACTCCGTTGCGCAGCGTAAGTCTTCTCCTAGCGATGATGCGTGTCATGAGTCCAAAGCGCGGTCTCAGCAACTCTTCCCGGATTGGGAGAATCCTATCTTTTAAGTTCAGTCACTTCCACCTGGCATTTCCAGTGAAGGTAGAAAGCATGGCGTGGGTGAAAGTCTCGTGTCATTGTTCTGCGCGGGGGCTTTGAGAAGCTAATTGGTAGTTACCTTTCTATCCACCATTTCCAGTTTTACCTTCGCGGGTTCTACTGTGGGTGTAGCTGCAGTGGAGTTGTTCGGCGTCTACCTGCCCCTGGGGGTATACAAATGGACGTGCTGAGGCTTCACTTCTCAGTCCACTCGGGGATTTCGTTGTTCAACCACCGGGCACTGAGACGAAATTAGGGCAGCAGACTAGTCTGTTCGTGTTGTTCGGCCAATCGATGTGCGGAGTCGTGTCGGCGCTGAGGCATTGTCCGTCCTGTTAAAAAGCAACGAGCTTTGGTGACGTGGTTCTTATGGCATTTTTCGTTGACGGGGACTCTTAAATTGTGCTACTGTCTAGGTGTGGAAACACCCTAGAGGTTAAGTTTCAATTCATAAGTTTTTCTGGCGCGGGATTTGTTACTGCATTGATGGTGAACGACCTGTGTCGTACCGGAGTAGCCGGCTCTTCGTCTTGTTTCGTTCCGACCTGCCTTTCGGCGCTGAACTGCTGCAGCGATGCCCGGGGAGGGGTACTGCTTGTGGGGAGGTGTTGTTTGGTGGAAGATTCTTGCGGGTAACTTCCATGTCCGAAGATTGGTCTCGAATTTCTGAAATCGGCGATCTCGTTTGAGGGCCTTGTTGAGACTCCTTCGGGGGACTCTGATAGGTTCCTCTTGAGGTTGTCGGCGGATGAAAGGAGACGCTGGTTCTAGGCTTGGAAGAGATCCTATGATCCGTTGTTCGGTCACTTCGGTGATGCTGAGGCGGGGATGGTGAACTTGCGTTTTGACCTGTTGTTCGGTCTTCTGATTGTCAAAAGTTCAGATGAGGTTTCCTGTGGGCTCAATGAGTTGTTCGCCGAGTCGCCTTCGGGTGACTCACAGAGCGGCTCGGCGAGTTCTAATGGTTTCCTCGTGCCAATCCGACTGAGTTTCTCGACGAGTTGTTCAACGAGTCGCCTTCGGGTGACTCACCGAACTTCTCATGAGATCTCGACTGGGGCGGTAGAGATCTCTGACAGGTTCCTTCGGGTTCCTTGATGAGATTTTCTCTGTTCTGGGACTGAGGTTTCTCAGGTGAAGTTCATGTTGATTTCCAGAGTTGCTCATAGAGTCGCTTTCGGGTGATTCGCCGAGCTTCTTTGCGATTTCTGATTGTTCTTCTTGCTGCACCGACTGAGAGTCTAACGAGTCGTTCAACGAGCTACCTTCGGGTGATTTACCGAACTTCTCCGCGGATTTCTCGACTGGAGTAGCGTGAGGTCTTCTGATAGGACCCTTCGGGGTTCCTTGACGAGGCTTCTAGAGATTCCTCGATAGCATTTCAGTTGATGCTGAGGCAGTAGTGAGAAAACTCAGTGGCGAAGTTTCAAGGGGGCTTGTGGAAGACTTCGGTCTGAAGCAGGTTCTCTGATTGGTTTATCTTACTTCCCAGTGATACCTTGGGTTCAGGTGGCTTTCTCTACGGAGTTTGCTATGCTGCGCCGGGGTCGTGGGCGGGACGTGATGCCTTTCGTGTTACTAAGTCAGCGGTGACTGGGCGGCCGGGTAGGATAGTAGCTTCGGGGTCTTCGGACCTCGTTGGTGTTGCACCGCCTGTTCGTTCTGATCCGTTAGAGAGGACTTGCACCGTTGTTTTGGGTACTTACACTGACGATTTAGTATTGATTCGCTGTTCAGGATGATTGATGAAAAGCACTCATGCTACGCTGGTTCTGGTAGTTAGCGTCCCGATAGAGTTTGCTACGAATATGGTGTCGTTGCTTACTTGGGGGTTTGCTGCTTGCTGCGGGGGATGTGCTGCTGGGATGGACGCATTTGGCGGTATTGGTAGATGGATTGGAATTCGTTTGGAGGACCTCCTTGGCATGTCGGTGCCCTTATTCGTAAATTGAAGAGCCCGAACTACGGCTCTCAACGAATACTCAATTTGACGTAACAGTCACCCACCCTCAACAAGAACTTCAGACGAAACGACAATCACAACATCAATCAACACCTCAATCAAAACGACAATTCACGCAACCATCAACATGGCAAGAAAAGCACAACTCAACTGCGCCAGGAACAATCACTTGTTCCACCGACATGCTTCTTTCAAAATTGACAACACATTCAGCTCGACATAGGCTTGGTATGGGAGGAATTTTGGCACGGTGGTTATTTTGTATTCATGTTTTTTGGATTAGTATAGATTGGCAGCAGCAGCAATACCCGAGCACTGTAGATAGATAGAGAGATGGTGAAATCACCCTCGTCATTTCCTGTAAACTTCATCCTTCTGGCATAAATTGCCTTGTTTACTTAATGGAATACCTTCTCTCAACTTGACTTCTCTATGATCTGTGACGTGAATCTTTAATGTTGTAGATTGATAATTTGTGGTAAGAGTTCACTGATAGCGTTCTCCAAATTTACATTCGTACTTACCGAAAAGTTCTTGAGGCGGGGTTCGGATTCATACTTGCATTATGCATGCAGCTTCCCCGACATTTTCGTATATCAGCATCTTTCCGCAATTGTGATAACATACAGAAAATTTCGAGCTTATTGGGTAGCTGGAAACGTTGATTGATATCTTTGTGGCTCTTTGCATATTTTTTTGAGATCGGCAGGTTTTTTTCTACCCGCTTTCTCTTTTCAGCCTGTTTTCACAGAAATTGACAGGGTTTTGGGGACGCCCACGTTTGTGAGATGAGGCTAAATTGTAACATTAATTCGCGAGATATCTCGGATTACATTTTTGGTTGTGGTTTCTGAATCTTGATGAGATGGTGAGTTCATAGGTTACATAAAAGAGAAAACAAGGAAGTTACTCAGGTATGATGACAGCTATCCGATTCTCAGTCCACATCACATGCACGCCAAAAGAAACTTTCCTACTCTCCTCGTTGTTATTTAACTTTACTCTCAATATCGATATCTTCCCCAGCTTTTGTTTTCTCCATGAAGAATATCCAATTCAGATACGACGAAGTGAAATACTCGGATCTCAGCTCCGTATTTCAAAATTGATTGATTGTAAATGCGGATTGGAATATAATGGCAGATGATTTAAATGAGACATGTAATGCATATGTTTGAAATGCTGCACTCTCGCCTTTTTACTTATATTGGTATTGAACAAATCCTGTTAAAATGTGTAAATGAATGTAATATTCGGAAGTGACTCGCTGCGATCTCTCAGGCCAAGTTTCGGAAGATCAGCATTTGATCATGATTGTCGAAAATTTTGATTCTGGACTTCACGTGCTCATATCCGGTAGTGAAGATAGACTACGTCTTAAAGAAGTTGATTGTGTTGTTCCTAAGTGTAAAAGTTGGTCTTCCAGTAACTTTTGCATGGTACTCGTGAAGGAAAAGTTCTCGTCCGTGTATTTCTAATAGACGGTCCCAGGAGGCTGATCCCAAACATGCGAGATAATTTGGTGGTATAGATAATAATTTGACGGAATCAGGAACTCACGGTATTTCAGATGCCGAACTTGCATTGACGAGCGTGAATTGTTCGAACTTTCTGGTTGGAGAAGAGGAAAATTACGAAGCGTCCAAAGAGATCAGTAACGGACTCGGGTTGTGGATATGCAGCGACTTCCTTGGGTACGTCTCGCGCCTGTTAGAACTTCTGTTTGATTGTGAGCGCGAAGACTCTGCATGCATCGTTAGGTATGAGCAAGTCTGACATACGATTTTGGAAGGGTACACAAGATCTTGAATTGGCTACAGCAATTTTCCGTCACGACCCTAAAAGCTACTCATGATGAGGCACATTGAGACCGCAAGAATACTCATACATGCTTACTGACTTTAAGTCATGTTTGTTTAGTCACATAAAGGCGGGTACAAGTAGCGCACCAGGATCATTTCCTGAAAACCAACTCCCCCAATTTGTATCCGTAGCTTTGGTATATGAGCGACTTGACCACTTTCCCTAACTTCGATGCTCCTCATACTATTATTGTTATCATACGGTAAAGAACTAATTCAGATCACTGCAATTTGTGGAGATGTGCTAAAATTTAGGTCATTTTGATACTTAATTTGGCTAAACGGGTATTCTGAAACCTGTAGTGGTCCATCTGATTTGCTGTGAGTTGTGGACAAGCGATCTACCTAAAGTTATCGAGATATTTCCTTCACCAAACAGAGTCCGAAATTTCCTTCAAAAGAATGGAGTATCCATTCTTTTGCATTCTTTTGAACCACTCCACTTGTCTGGAATAGTTGATCCGACTGAGCCAGCATACTTTGCCTTATCTGATCGAGCAGACAGAAAGCACATTTATCTGATGCGTCTGTATTGATCGTAAGGAGCCTCGTGAGACAGAATGGTGTGCACTATAGGAGTGTGTTTCGTAACGGAAGATCTTATGGGAGAGCGCGTAGCCGGAGATACTATCAGGGAAGGGGTATACTTTGAAGTAAAAATCAACTCGACTTCTCTTCTTTTAAAATTTAACCTTCGCCGTAGAGTTGCATGTGTCTCATATGTTTAAGCGAATTAAAAGCCATGCGGATAAGTTGGTATTGAGGAAAGTTAATTAGATTTTAGATTGCACACAAATTCAAAGAAAGCCTTTGATCACAGCCCTCACAAAAGTACACAATCCTAAAATGACAACTTCATCTGGTTGTAGCAAAGCAGGAAGATTTGCCACATTCCTTATGTTGAAGAACTTACTGAGAAGAAATGATTCCATAAGTAATCCACCTTCATTTCCAAAAATAAAGTTGTTTTTTTGGTGGTTTGATCTTTTGAGGTCTTCATGAACTCCACATGAAACCCCCAAACTCTCATCACTTGCTATGCAGACATATGAGCTTTCATTATGTGCACCTTCCATTTGTTTTTAGCCTGAACCATCTAGAAACTCCTAATTTCTTATAATAAGCTCTCCAGAGACATCTAGAGTAACAATTGTGGCTAAAATAGTTCTTGAACTGAGAAGGGTGATTTTAATTCAACATCAAGTGAACATACCAAAGCCAGATACTCAATCACTCATAACTTCTACAAAATTTAACTTTTCAACTCTTTTACTTCATTTCCAAGTTTCCCAAGACTAACTATTCCCACTGTCCAAGAGTTGTCCCAAACGACAACTTTTTCATTTTCGTTGTGATTTCAACTTTTCTTCCAAAAAAGCTTCAGGGAGTTTTTTGAGGAAAAGTTGGGTAAAATTCGAAAATCAACTATTTCTGACGTGCAACAAAATTCTGCAAAGTCCGAAGTGGTCCCGAAGTCCCGTGAAAGTCACAAGAATCAATGTTGGTTGGTTGAAAGGGTAAGGTTGCAGAGAGGCCTGAGCTTCAGGACAAGATAGTAAACAAGAACCACTGTAAACCTGACAAAAACAACCTCTGTTGGTTCATGAGAATAGATGAATAAACAGGTTCTAGAGTTGAAAAGTCAGACCTGACTCTAAATTCATGAACGGAAGCATAGCATAACATCAAAGAATCTTCAAAATCCTTGATGTTCTCTTCAAGATTCTCATTCTCAGCAAGTGCAATCAACAAAGAGAATGTGTAAATGCGTCCTCTATAGAATATGTTTCTTGAAAATTGCTAAGAATCAGCTAGCCAGAAAGGACTGGGATAAGGTGCGAGAAGAAATGGCAAAGCTCAGAAGCATGAGAAGTTGTCTCATTTTGTTGAGAAAATAAACGAAACAACTCACCTGTACAAGTCCAGCCATAGGGATGGCTCTCCAACTTTTACCACCTTATCAGCGAACTCATTAATTTTTGCGTCTTTCCAAAATATTTGCAAGTCTTACTCAAGACAGGCTAAGTCTATACCTATTTGTTGTCAGTCTATTGTCCAGAGGTTCTTGAGCCTGGATGAACAAAGTTCAACTTGTCTTGTAAAGTTTCATGAGTGTAAGTCTTTCTTGCACGTGTCACACTCGTGACTTACTCAAATTTCTGATTAAGATCATGGTCAGTCAGAGATTTCTATTTCCAAAGGGTAAAACCATCTGATATATTTCCCAATCACACATCCTTTTGTATTGTGCACTTTTTCAATTATAGTTTTTGATACAGAATACCTGGGTGTACAGAGTATCACCTGCGTATACAGAGTATCACCTGCATGGTATGCATGAATGTGGTTAGTGTAAGGCTCAGGGGCCCACTCGCTTAACCTCTTGGACTTCTTGGACTTCGAGACAGCCCAAGTTGTATGCATATCTTGTTTCTATCCACTAGGAATGCCAAACTGGTTCCAGAATTTGTTGTCAATTGTCTGGATGGGGTATATTTCATACCTGGAGAATGTTTTGTCAACATTTTTGGAAAACCCGATATCTAAATCCTCAAGAACATTGTATATGAAATGTGAAGTAAACAACCAGACCTGAAGATAAGAGAAGCGTTAAGAGAAATTTCCTTCAAGCCTCTAGAAATCCTTATCGATGGTCATCTTTGATCAGATGCTTCTTCGATCTCGACTTTAAAGCTGGTGGCAGCATAGGGTTTAGAGCGGAAACTCCAAGCCTTGAATATGTTTGAACTCAAAAGTGGCTCGTAGTATACATTCATGGCTCAATGACTTGAGAGAAGTGTATCATAGATTATTTTGCTGAAGCGGTACGAAGTGACGCCGTCTTTGGGCCCATGTATAGTCGTGATAATGTCCGTGTGATTTATCTCGATGCGCACCCCAAGAAGCTCCAAGCCCACTCCATCCCAAAGCTCCAACCCCGTTGTATAATAATATTTCCCATCCGGTTTTTTATATTGCCTTCCAGTTGTTAATCGCAAGTACGCTCGGTCTTCATCGTATCAGTGTTTCCATTTCAAGTAATTCGTTCCATTGCGTGTCTTCCAAGACGCCGCACCCTCACCAACGTATAAATGCTTTTCG